TACGTCTCAATAGCATTAGTGTTAAAAAAAATGGAATGAGGAAAAAAGTGTAGTAAATTTATTTCAAGAAAGAGCTTAACCACAAGAAGTAGATTTATTTAAGAATAAAATACTACAAGAAGTAGTGTGACAATTAGAAGATGAAACAAATATAATATGGTACGATAGTAGAAACAGATTAAAAAAACATCTATTGATGTTCTTGAAGAATCAAGAGGTAATGGATCATTCGCGAGAGAAACTTAATGGTGGAATGATGAGGTCTAAGTTGCGGTAAAGAAAAAAGAGTGCACTATAAACCATGGCAAAAAACTAAAAACAACGAGAACTATAAAAATTACAAGCCTGCAAATTAAGAAGTAAAAAAGTGGATAAAAAAATCTAAGTATGAAGCATATGATGATTTTTACTCTAAACTACACTGATTGAGAAAAAGTATATATAAACTTTCTAAATTAAGAGAAAGAAAAACTAAAGATATTGATCATACTAAATGTATTAACTATTAAGAATGGAGATTCTAGAATTTAGAATTTTGGTACAAAATGAGAAAATTAAAGAAAAGTGAAATAATTATTTTTCAAGTTACTAAATAAAAGCCATATAGGACGCTTAGACATTGAGGATTATAAAAATCATTTATTGATCAGAGAAAACACATTTTTTCATAGGATTAGGATGTTGAAGGTAAATGAAGACATGAACAACTTTAGGACCGGAGGGTATATCTTGAATTATGGAAGTGTCTAGGGGATGTTGGGGCATTTGTCAGATCCCGTATAAAATTTAAAGATGAATAACATGATATTAAGAGTATTTCCAAAAGAATGATAGAAACTTTGAATCGTTGTTGAAAGATTGACCTTGAAGTTTAGGTTTTGCATATATTGACTTTCGTGTCGATAGTTTCGGAGTTGTTTAAGCTTGAGAATAGTGATTAGGTAAGTTCCTAAATATTTTTATGTCAAAATAAGACTATCATTGAATCCAAAATGTCGAAAAACCATGAGAGAGGTTATATGGGATTTATTAGAAGTTTGAAAGAATTCCAGAGTTAAAATCTATGTTGAGGAGACTTCGGGTAGAAAAGAATTTGACACTACATTTGTATTTTTTTGATAAGACATTACCTTAGTATTTTGACTATAACTTTTTACCTCGACGTCTAATATGATTTTTTGAAAGTATAAACCAGACTTTAAGGGTTATAAAAGTGTATTTTATGAAATTTTTGTGAATCGGCATCTAACTACATCAAAATCGAGCCAAAAGCCTGGATATAAATTTACCGGCATTCGGACGTCTAAATTGGGTNTATTTTGACTATAACTTTTTACCTCGACGTCTAATATGATTTTTTGAAAGTATAAACTAGACTTTAAGGGTTATAAAAGTGTATTTTATGAAATTTTTGTGAATCGGCATCTAACTACATCAAAATCGAGCCAAAAGCCTCGATATAAATTTACCGGCATTCGGACGTCTAAATTGGGGTTCAGACGTCTATCCAGAAACTAAAATTGTACAAAAAAAAAAAAAGAGTTGGTGGCATTCGGACACCCATAGAACTGTTCGGACGATTTTTTCCGTTTTTCAATTCACCATATTTCTTTACCTTAAACGTTGAAATGATGTTGTTCTCCTATGTGTTATTTTTTTTTGGTTTGATCTCAAATAAAAGAAATTTTTGATCATCTTCTTCTCATGAAACCCTCTTTTCTTTTCACGCATCTTATTTTTCTTCTTCTCATTCAAATAGACAAATTCCTAACTTTATTTCGATCGCTGTTGTGAAGACAAACAATTCTATCTTTCAATCTCTATTGCACACATGCATCGCACGAAATGATGAATGAGTTGAAATGATATTTATATTACTTCACACACTACATTACATTTTACATATTTTTAAGCATATATGTGTGTATATATATAAAAATTTAAATATAGCGTATCTCACGATACACGATACATAATATATTTTTTTGAAAAACGATATGCGTTCTGACACGCGTTTTGACAACCTTGGTTAAGATAATAAACATGCTCAATTAATCAATTATTAAGTTTATCTACATAAAGAGATTTAAATTTACGTTTCCATATTTTTCCATATATTTTTAATTTTTTTTCCAATTTTCACTGCATTTCTGAAATGTTTCCAAAACATTTCTGATTCCGAGCTGACCCAAACTATACACCGAAATGTATTTTTTATCCTTGTTGATAAAGCACAATGACAAAAAAGGATTCATCTAGTCGACTCAAAAAATATTGAAACAAAACTTTGTTGAGTTAGTTGAACCAAACTGAGAAATAAAAAAAAGAAAGTTGAGTTGTAGAAAGAAAATCAGTAACTTTGTTGCGGTTGCAAATTAATGCCATAATGAACATTAAAAGGATTGGCCATCAACAAACATAGAAAAACATACAAACTATCCTACTTTATATTATTAGTTAAGATTATATGAGGAGAGCGTACTGATATCTCCAAAGCACAGATATGGATACGAGGTACAAAAATGATACAATACAGATACGGCGATACGACAAAATTTAAAAAAATAAGATACACATACGGTTTAGATATGTATATAATAAAATATATTTCAAATTATTACTATTATCTACCGATTTAATAATAATATATTTTGATAATTCTTTAACATAATAAGAAAAAATAGTCATTTTTTTAGTTTCAAAAAGAAAATATCATATTATATTCACAAAATGAAGTGACTAATTAAAAGAATCAGTTTTGCGCACTTCCGCACCTATGCACTAAAGGCTTACTATCTGTGTCAAAATTTGACTCTTGACTACTATAATGAAAGAAGGGAACCTGAACCTACTCCCTCACCACCAAAACCGTCGGCAGACCTTCTCTTCCAGACACACTCACTCAAGCATACTTACGACTACTCGCCTTCCTGGCTTACTGCACTGACCAAAGATTAACATACCGCAATGTCCAATGGTATGTGAATTCGAAAAGAGATGCTAAAGATTAAATTCAAAAATTATGCATATTGCTTTGATATAAAGGTATTCGCGAAATATCCAAATATTTTATTATTATCAAATACATAAGAGTATCTGATTCGTATTTTCTCACGTATTTTACGAGTATCGTAACCGATATGGATATGCCACCCTCAATGAAGTATTCGTATTTCATAGTCTGATATAGATATTATTGAAGAGGACAAGATTAAATCTTATGATTTGCATAGTATCGTCAAAGTTTTGTTAATAGAAATTATATACTAAATAAGCCTAGCGATCTAGGATTATCTTCAAGCTATTTAATATGAAAATTAATATGATTGGTTGTTAACACAAAAAAGAAACATATAAAAAACAAACATATTAAGAGTGATTAAAATTGTACTTTAAAAGAAAGATGACAAATGGCTTGGATGTCTATAATATTAATGAAGTTGGGTTAAAATGCATTTTGTATTAAATAAGGTTAGTATTGTATCTATAATTTGTTTTAAGAGTAAAATAGTCAAACAAAAGTTTTTCTTGTTTGCATACTTTTATTGGTAGTATAATTATAATTATAGATATAGATATATATTACTTTGCAGCTGTCTCCTTTAGAGCATCTCCAATTGAGATTCTTGATTTGGTTCAATGGAATTGAAGGAAACTACAATCTAAAAATTCTGAAATTAACTAATCAAAGTTGGTTATTCAGCANGCTGTCTCCTTTAGAGCATCTCCAATTGAGATTCTTGATTTGGTTCAATGGAATTGATGGAAACTACAATCTAAAAATTCTGAAATTAACTAATCAAAGTTGGTTATTCAGCGAAAATTGGTAACTTACTCAAATCAAGGAGTGGTTTTGGACACTTTATGCCCATGTGAAGGGCAACTCAATCTCAAATGATTTTCTCATCGGAAAGACTTGCTCTAATGCAAAGATTTTGCAATCCAAGTAGCTACGACAATGAAGCTTGCTTGTTGGCTTCAAAGAAAATTGAGATTGGCCAGATTAATAGCATTGTTCAGAAGGAAAATCCAAGAATCCTCAATATGAGAAGGTGGAACCCAATCCACATTTCTAGGCAGGGAATATATAAACCCATCTCAGATATGTACTCCGGGGAAAAGGGGGCCTCAAAACACATAAGTGCAAGAGTAATATTAGTAATATACTGTTATATAGTGATACCCACATGCATACATAATTGATTTTTAAGCAATCTTTGTCCACAAGCACGAATGTCGAAGCCCATACTTAGTCAAACCATTATAGAACGTAGAATATAAGAGGACTAAATAATTAAATACTGTACAGTATCTAAATAAAGGCACCTCCGTTTAGTTCAGTAGTGAAGTTTTTGGGCTGCCAAACAAGATTGGGCCTAGTCTGTTTATTTGGCCTGCATTACTTTCAAACTATTGTTGTTGGGGTTGTACGGGGGAAAATTTCTGCAAACGTGGGTTTATGGTCCACTTGAAAGGGATATGGTTGCTATGAATTGCATTGCAGAATTGCTAATCTAGTGGGTCATTATTTCAGCATTTGATTGTGTAATAAACAGGTTGGAGATTTATCCTTTTTGCTGCCTGCTTCAACTCCATTCTTAGTGGGTGAAGAAAACAGCAGTGGAAGAAAAATGGGAAAATCTCTTTTACTGGCTGCCCTCCAGAACACTATTAACACACTGGTGTGTCATCCTCTAGGTGCAGAGGATTACAATCTTTTTTTATTTTCATCTGTTTAGGCTTTGTGGCTCTTTCAAACAACAAAAAAGGGACATTTGATCATCAGGAAAAAAGTAGAAATTCCTTAGAAATACACTTGATCAGTAATAAACCTTAAATACTCCAACTTCATCTATTTATGATTAAGATAAGCAATGCTTTATTTTCCTGGTAAGTTTTAAGACTAGATATATTACGCCAACATTTATCAGAATCATAAGGGAATATTCTAGGAATGCTAACAGCATTAATCGAGGGGAACCTATCCTTTAAAAGACAATTTAACTCCATAAATTCATAAAAGTAACACTGGAGAAAAGATGAAAGCCATTTTTGTAACAAGAATAAAAGCCAGAAAAACTACCAGTAAAGCCAAATGGAAGTGACTGCGATTGAACAAAGACCTGTCTTCTTGGCTCAAAGCGTATGGTCAAGGTGTGTACAAGGAATGGATCCAGTGGCAGATCATCTAGTTTCACAGGCCGAAATGATGAAAATGGTACTCTCACCTGCCACAACATATACAAGAAAACGTTTATCGTAAGATTCTCACATGCCAATCAAATGTGGACAAATGAAGCAAATCGAAGTCCGATTGGTTTCACTAAAAATCTAACTGAACCACCAGTTTTATTTTTCAAATACAAAAAAGGAGATTGCTCACCCTGCAAAATCCTACTTTTGTGCTAATTCTTGCAAAATACATTTTGCTCTGGGTTGTGTCTGCTGAAGGACCAGCCTCAAGAATTAAAACATAAGATCTTCCATTCCCACCAATAGAAAGTAAAAGACCTTCATACCTAAATATGGCAGATTTGATTATGGAAGCAGTAATCAGTCTTTGCAGTTGAAAAAGACAAGTAAGGGAAAACAAATGTGTTGGAAACTATAATTGGTAAGAACAATGGCCCACGAATTATGCGAGTAAAACATACCTGTCAAGAGTGCAACCCAAGGGAAGCGAAAGTTGTTTTGAAAGTTCCACATACCCTCCCCTCGTGAATACATAGCCTGTTGTCAAAAAAGAGAAACAGGAAAAAGAAAGAGCTAAACATCAAATCTTCTTTACATTTCTTCAGACTGTGTACTTTGAAGAGATTTTTAGACTCATTCACAGAAGCCATTTTCTTGGGTGAGTTTGTCACCAACATCTCTCTAGACTACCTAAATCATTTGCTCAAATTTATGTATTACGAGAGTTAAAAAATTGGAAAGCATAATTGCCTCAAAAATCTCCAATAACAGCATGTATATGCCTTTCTCAAATATTTCAGGGCCTAATTGAGCATGTGGTTTAATTCACCTGATATTCATTATTCTTACCTGAGAAAACTGCATCTGCACTCTCAGTGAACTCAAATTTAGCGTCCATTCCTCCATCATACTTAGCAGCAACCTCATCCTGGAAATAAGTTCCTAGACGGACATCCCACCCATTCAATGAATCTGCAGTCTTGAATTTTGCAAGTAAAAGCTTGCTTTTGCTGCTTTTTCCTGCTCGTAGTTGTGCTAGTTTATTGTTCTGGTCCTTCAAATTTTGGCCATTCAATGAATTAATGTGCCATTTAGCAATCAACCATACAAACTTTGTAACTAAGAGACATCACCAAAATTCCTCGTGTTTGAATTCATTAAATGATAAAACAAACAATTTTAAAACAACCAAGGATTAAAATTTTATTTCGGTGCATTGTTACGGTCATCTAGGAAATTGAAACGTTTCGAAAATGCTTCAGAAATAGAATGGAAACCAATAAAAAAAAATTTGAGAATTTATTTTCACAATATTTCAAAATATTGGTCGAAATATACCAAAACATATCAAAACATTTGGGGAAAAATGTCGAAACATCTTGAAATCTCTCGAAATATTTCGAAACACCTCAAAATATTATGAAACAACTCAAAACATTCGAATTTCGATTCAATTACTAATTTGCTTCAGTTTCCTCAGAAAGAGAAACATAAACGCTTCAGCCGTTTCGAAATGAAATTTTGATCTTTGACTAAAACTGAATTGGACCCTGCAGTCTGACTGCTTGGACCAAGACGTGGTCCAAAAATATGAAGTTACCATTCTACTTTGCAAGGTTGCAAGAACCAATGAGTGAAATGGCAACCTGCATGAACCATTTATAGTTCAAACGAACAGTCTGGTTAGGGTCTAAAGAATTAGTATTTAGTGGAAAATAAGTTAGCTAAATGTCCCAGTCTCATACTGCTAGAACCTCTGTGTGGCTTTGTCACAACCATAGGATCAATTGATGACCAGCTACCATGTAGGCTGGCTGGCGGATGGTGGAGGTTGACTCATTATTATTATTATTTTTTAACTACAAGCTTCCTTTTGAGTATTTTCAGTGTAACCTTCTGAGGGTATCTTCACTATAATTTATGATTTCCATGTTATCATATGTGCAGGTAATTGGTTTTCTCTGTTTTATTGTTAAGAAAAATATCACTCTCTATTTGTGAATTCTGATAAATGCATCAGAGAAGTTTGAACTCTCTTCCTCTGTCACTCCCTTTATTCGAAGTACATTCATGTGAGCCTGTGCATGTTTCTGTGCACATAAATGCAGCAAAAGCCCAGTGAACATCTTGCAATTCAGGAAATCCAAGGTATGAGGCTTAGAACATAAATTAAAAATGGTCGATTAATTTGGAAATTCTTAAACACTTTTGAGCAGTTCCGAGCTATTAGGTTACTTTGGGCCTATTTCACACTAGGGGAGGCTCTACAGTATTTGGAATTCCAACAATAGTAAATAAACAAGACCATACGATTTTTTAAAATTGCCAAAAAAAAGTATGAGGTGATCATGTCATGACGGTTGGTTCTGGTTTGTCTGAAAGTTGAATGGCTGATCCCCGTTCCTACTTAGTCTCTATTCTAGTTTGTATAGCAATCCAAATTTTAAAACATTGTCAGACAACAAAAGCCTAGATTGTGTCTTGATGCACACCTCAAACACCCAGACCTTGTATTCGGACAGGCTAGAACCTTGAACAGATTCTAGGCTGACCAATAAAACTATTTCAAGTAACATTAAAACCAATGTAAGCTCCAAATCCAAACCAGGAGAGGTATTAGTGGTTTTTAATCAACTATGAAACTGCACAGGCTCATCTTCTGCACTGAAACTCTCTCTCCCTCTCTCTCCTGATTTAGAATCCCCATCTGAATCTTAATGCCAGCCATAAAAATTGCACCCTAAATTAACTGAGATCTTTTGTTTAATCCCTCAATCTTAAACAAGTGAAACGATATCCATAAATAATGAATAGCACATTCAATTCCAACCCAATATTCAAACAATAGGTAAGTCCTCAAAGCTTGTGCAGGGACACACTCACATGATGACACTACATAAATACAGACCAAATGAAGGTTAGAGAAGGGAGGAAACCTGAAACGCTTTGGTAAGGTTGTAAACGCCCTGATGATCAACTCTATTGAGATCTCCGGTGATAGAGGAACGAGCTGTGGCACAATATATTATTTTGTTGCAACCTTCCACAGCAGCTTTGAGAGTGGAGGGATCACCCACATCCCCAGGCACAATCTCCACAGATGTTGGAAGCATGTCCACCACTTCTTGATCTGCCTTCCTTACTAGAGCCTGACTAGGTATGGTGAAACCTTTCAAGTCTTATTCAATTGCAAGTGCAAAAGTAGATTTCATTTAGCACATATGAGAATGTAAAAGGATAACACATAGTGTGGGCATTATCGAAGACAGATATGGTATTTTGGGGTAGTTACAGCCATAGGTCATGCCAGACTAGGACATGAGCTCAAGCATAATAACCTAAATTAAGCATCTATATAATAAAGTAGAACACGTTTTGAACCCCAAAACTTATCTCAAGCTTTTCGCGGATCAGATCAATTCTGGTTGTTTTATTGTCTATAGTAGTTACCACATCTAAAGAATCCAATTATTTTTTTGAATATATTTGGGACTGTTTGAACCTTTTTCCTATATCACTCCATACAATAGAAAATATAGGTCAAGAAATTTGTTTATTAAACTATTGGCAATTTGCAAGGAATTAAGTTGTATAAAAAATTCCATCATAAAACTTTATGTTGAATGCTGTGGTTGCAGAATCCTATAAACAATTTTAAGAGATGCAAGAAGTGATTGAAATGGTGGTCTCCATGGAGGTGAAGGTGGCCCTCTTCCCCTTGTTCCCAGTGGGCAGCTTCCAATGTGAACGTGCCAAGGTTGTCAAGCTATNGTGGTTGCAGAATCCTATAAACAATTTTAAGAGATGCAAGAAGTGATTGAAATGGTGATCTCCATGGAGGTGAAGGTGGCCCTCTTCCCCTTGTTCCCAGTGGGCAGCTTCCAATGTGAACGTGCCAAGGTTGTCAAGCTATGATGGAGACCCAACTTTGATACCATGTTAGAGCATCCAACCCAAAATCAATTGACAATGGGTGGAGCAGCCTCTCAAGTATATAAGTCAAGCTCTCTTAACGGTTCTTATGTTGAAAACTCGCGACACATAACATCTCAAGAAAAGACAAAAAAAAAGGACTTAAATAGTTTGTTGGAATTCCAATTTAATGAAGTATGAACAGTGTGTCCCGTAGAGGGGAAAATAGAATGAGTGTTTTAAGTATTTTTAAGGGATTTTAGTGTGTGTAAGAAGCTTACATGTGATGATGCATGAATAAAGAATTTTTACTAAGTATGAGCTCGGGAAGCCAGGTCGGGCAATGAGCCCAGAGCCCTGAAGCCCAAATCCCANTGTGTAAGAAGCTTACATGTGATGATGCATGAATAAAGAATTTTTACTAAGTATGAGTTCGGGAAGCCAAGTCGGGCAATGAGGCCAGAGCTCTGAAGCCCAAATCCCGAGCTCCTCTCCGATGAAAGACCAGAGAAGTCAAGGAAAGAACAGCTAGACAGAAAGAAGCGTCCACAAAAACAGCAAAGTGGCAGTGATCAAGGTGTGAAACTCTAAACCACCCAAGATCTCCTCTTAAAATCAAGAAAAGTTTTGTGGTTAACGAGCAAGGATCTCGCTGAAGATCCCTTAGTGATACAAATCGTGCTATAAATACTATACTTTGCCTCCTTGAGAGAAAAAAAAAGGAAAAAAATCGAAGATCATAGAAGAAACTCTGTAAGTTAAATCCTCCACGAATAAAGAGAAAAAGGGCCAGAGCCTCCATTGAAGAGTGGATTAGCCGAGCTCCCGAGTTAGTGAACCACTATATTTTTGTTGTGCACATCACCCCAATCCCCTAGTAATTATAAACACAATCCTCACGAGCTTTGTAGCTCAGATCCAAGTCGATAAGCATAATCCATATCCTCTGCTCATCCACTTCAGTTTACACCATCAGTTTGGCGCCGTTTGTGAGAAACGATTGTTCTCGTTGCAAATACACTAATCCTTCAGTACCTGATGGTCTCAACCCGAAATATGAGCAGAAGCCAAGTCAATCCCCCTCGGATGCAGCACCAGCAGGAGAATACTAGCAGACAACATGAAGATCCACAAGATTTCTTCCCCACCGTCGACGTTAATCCTCCTATGGTGGATCTTCCCACGAACAACGAGCTGGAAGCCCTCCGTTTGGTCAATCAATGCCTGCTAAAGTAGAATGAAGAACTCCTGAAGCTTTTACAGCGATCACAGGAGAAGCAACCAGCCCAAGGAGGCCAGAATGATCCCCTTCACTGGGAACAGCAACCTCTCGACCTGTTCAGGGAAGCCGACGAAGGAGGAGAAAATAGCTAGGCTCCCTAACCTCCTCTAAGGAATGGAGACAATGAAGAGGTACAAAGCCGAAGTAATGAGAATGAAAAGAACAACCTTCGCCCAGTCCAACAAGAGCGAAATAACCAATATTGGGAGCAACGATTCAAAGATATTCAACAGGAACTCAGCCACATGAAGGAGGCTGTGCGGAGTAAAACCCCAGTAACAATGGACGCCTTAGTATAGCAAATCGAGTCCCCGTTTACTCCTGGGATATTGCATTTCCCCCTCCCGCCGAAATTCAGAATGCCACAAGTAGAAGCTTTTGATGGAACCAGAGACCCTATGGACCACCTGAATACCTACAAAAATCAAATGGAGTTGCACAGATATCAAGATCTTGTTTGTTGCCGCGCCTTTGCGATAACCCTGAAAGGATTAGCCTTAGTATGGTTTAACCGACTTCTCCTGGTCTCGATCTCCTCGTTTAAAGAGCTCTCGATATCCTTTGTATCTCATTTCAATGGAGCTCAAATATACAGAAAGCCAAGCTACTATTTACTGAATGTGAAACAGGGACCTCAGGAGAACCTAAGATCCTATGTTCAAAGATTCAACTGAGTCCCTAAAAGTTGATGTCCCAGACGAAAAATTTGCAATCACTGCTTTCATAGCAGGATTGGGAGTACAGTTGAAAGATTTGATGTTCTCCATATCTAAGAATCCTCAAGCAAGCATGGCTGAGGTGTTGGCCAAAGTAGAGAAATATATCAACGGCGAGGAAGCTCTCTTCTCAAAGGTAGGGAGCTCGTCTTCACAGAAAGGAAAGGAGAAGGAGGAAAAGAAAAGGGATCAAAGTTCCAAGAAAGAAAGAGAAAGAAACAGGTCTCCAAGAAGAGAAAGAAACAGGTCTCCAAGAAGAGACAGATCTCCTAGGAGAGATAGAGAACGTTCCCCAATAAGGAGGAAAAATGTCAAGGATTGTCTAGGTCCCCCATAGCCTGAACTACAACTGAAGTATGTTCCTTAGCAGTATACCCCACTCACTGCCACAGTGTCCCAAATCTTATATGAGGTGCAGAATGAAAAGTTCTTAAGATGGCCTCCCCGAATGAAGGCAGATCCAGCAAAGAGGGATCCTACGAAATACTGCGAGTACCACAAAGATCACANTGGACCACCTGAATATCTACAAAAATCAAATGGAGTTGCACAGATATCAAGATCTTGTTTGTTGCCGCGCCTTTGAGATAACCTTGAAAGGATTAGCCTTAGTATGGTTTAACCGACTTCTCCCGGTCTCGATCTCCTCGTTTAAAGAGCTCTCGATATCCTTTGTATCTCATTTCAATGGAGCTCAAATATACAGAAAGCCAAGCTACTATTTACTGAATGTGAAACAGGGACCTCAGGAGAACCTAAGATCCTATGTTCAAAGATTCAACTGAGTCCCTAAAAGTTGATGTCCCAGACGAAAAATTTGCAATCACTGCTTTCATAGCAGGATTGGGAGTACAGTTGAAAGATTTGATGTTCTCCATATCTAAGAATCCTCAAGCAAGCATGGCTGAGGTGTTGGCCAAAGTAGAGAAATATATCAACGGCGAGGAAGCTCTCTTCTCAAAGGTAGGGAGCTCGTCTTCACAGAAAGGAAAGGAGAAGGAGGAAAAGAAAAGGGATCAAAGTTCCAAGAAAGAAAGAGAAAGAAACAGGTCTCCAAGAAGAGAAAGAAACAGGTCTCCAAGAAGAGACAGATCTCCTAGGAGAGATAGAGAACGTTCCCCAATAAGGAGGAAAAATGTCAAGGATTGTCTAGGTCCCCCATAGCCTGAACTACAACTGAAGTATGTTCCTTAGCAGTATACCCCACTCACTGCCACAGTGTCCCAAATCTTATATGAGGTGCAGAATGAAAAGTTCTTAAGATGGCCTCCCCGAATGAAGGCAGATCCAGCAAAGAGGGATCCTACGAAATACTGCGAGTACCACAAAGATCACAGTAATCATACTGATGACTGCATCCAGCTGAAGAAGGAGATTGAGTTCTTAATCCAAAGGGGGCAGTTGCGTCGTTTTATTGCCCATGATACCCAGAATAGAGCTCCACCGCCCCTAGTGCCTCAGCAGCAAGCCCCTATGCAGCATCAGCAACCCCTAGGGGAAATCAGAGTAATATCAGGAGAGTTTACAGGAGGAAGGGAATACAACTCAGCTAGAAACGCACACTTCTAAAGAATCAGAGCTGATGAAGCACTGGAAGTACATACCGTATCCAAGACTCCACGTTTGGACTTACCCATCACTTTCTCAGATTTAGATCTGGAAGGCTGCCAGCATCCCCATGATGATCCTTTAGTAGTAAGAGCGCTTGTTGCCAACAGAACTGTTCATCGAGTATTGATTGACAACGGGAGCTCTGTAGACATCATCTTTGCACTAGCATTTGATAAGATGGAGATAGGCAGAGAAAAGCTCAAGCTCATAACTACCCACCTGTTGGGATTCTCAGGAGAAAGAGTATTACCATTGGGGTCGGTGCAACTCGTGCACACAATTGGGGACCCTCCCGGTCAGATTTCCACTTTTGTAAAATTTTTGGTAGTTGATGCTCCTTCAACGTACAACATGTTGCTTGGGAGACCTTCCCTCAACGCAATGAGAGTTATACCCTCAGCTTACCACTTGGTTATAAGTTTCCTATAGAGAATGGGGTTGGTACAATCCAAGGAGACCAATGTGTGGCACAAGAATGCGACTTGGTGTCTGTTAAAAGGAAAGAGGTCGAAAATATTCAACTGGACGAGCTCGACATGAGGGACGAGCTCGACACCAGACCAACACCATCGGAAGAGCTGGAACCAGTCCAGCTTGATGAAGAACCAGAAANCCAAAGTAGAGAAATATATCAACGGCGAGGAAGCTCTCTTCTCAAAGGTAGGGAGCTCGTCTTCACAGAAAGGAAAGGAGAAGGAGGAAAAGAAAAGGGATCGAAGTTCCAAGAAAGAAAGAGAAAGAAACAGGTCTCCAAGAAGAGACAGATCTCCTAGGAGAGATAGAGAACGTTCTCCAATAAGGAGGAAAAATGTCAAGGATCGTCTAGGTCCCCCATAGCCTGAACTACAACTGAAGTATGTTCCTCAGCAGTATACCCCACTCACTGCCACAGTGTCCCAAATCTTATATGAGGTGCAGAATGAAAAGTTCTTAAGATGGCCTCCCCGAATAAAGGCAGATCCAGCAAAGAGGGATCCTACGAAATACTGCGAGTACCACAAAGA